GATAAATAATATTTGTTCGATAAAAACGAGGATATGATAAATTATACATGATTTATACTAAACTACATGTTGAAGCTGTGATACCATCAAAATATTCAGGTTATTTAGGGTATTATTTATACACAGTTATACATCACGTGTAATTATACTTGAAATAATTCCTACCTATGAATGTTTACTTCAACCCACCTGCTGCATCTTGTGTGCAGGCCGTTAGTAAGGTCCCTCTGTATGTTGATTTTAGAAAGCTACTATCGACAACAACATTAGGCATGCAATACTCCCATCCTTTAATTGATGAGAAGAGTGCTACATATACATATAAGAAGCACCCGTCATCTGACCTTTCCAACCTTGTCACTGACCCAGGATTTGAATGCATTAACATATTCAAAAACCTTGGCAGCTTATTATACGAATCGCTTGGTTTGCCTCTCAACATTTCAAAAGCTTTTTCCCTCGACCTCCATGCTTTCATATAGTTCAAATCAACTCCATAATTCCTCTTGAGGTCACGTTGTATTTCTGCTGGAGTATACTCCAACTTTGGATCATCTAACTTGTTCATTATCAAACTTCCAACGAGATCAGAGGTAGCATGCCGCTGTGAAAATAATCTGGAATTATTTTCACATGTGTGAACTTTTTCAAACTTTCTCACCTTAAATATATTCGAGGTGTTTAGGCTTGATGCTTTAAGATTCCATGAGCATTGATCATCCACACATACAAGATAATACCTGCAGTATAAATATATTCGAAAAGATTATATTCGAAAACACTACCACTATTATTTTTAAATTACAACTTACAAAGCATATCCTTCAATTGTATATAATCATTCGTTAACTTTACAAGTACCTTGTCATGTATAATCTGTGCATATAATCTAAACCATCGGTTTAATCTTTTTACACAAATATTATACTAAATTTATACCATTTAGTTGTATTATTCGGTAATATAGCGTTACTAAATACTAAATTTACAAGACATTAAGTTCACTTCATACAATTATCTATATACATGTATCGTCAGCCGGCCATATCAAACATATATTCAGTGAAAGGTCGAAAAGATTACCACTATTATTTTTAAATTACAACTTACAAAGAATATCCTACAATTGTATATAATCATTCGTTAACTTTACAAGTACCTTGTTTTATTTGAACGATCAACCTTTAACTGGAACTTCTCTCGGATTGCAAGATGTTTCATAATGTTTTGCAGTATATCCTTGTTTTTGTACAGCTGCCCTTCATTAACCTCTTGATGTGTACTGATTCCGATTATACACTCTTCATCGATCTGCATAACATCATAGTCCTCTTTGTTTCCGGAATTAATACATTCAACCGTTTCCAGATTGTCAACCATTGACAAATTCTGAAAAAGATTGGAGTTTGCCTTGTTAACAACTGGATTCGCGCATGTACCATCGTTATCCTGCTTTTTAAATGTTATACACAATGGATAATCAGTGAAAGATAAATTTTTGCTTTTCAACTCCATGTACAAGCCCAAACTCCTGTCGTCGTATATTTTCATCGGTGGAAAATTCTCTTTCACGGAATATCCAATATCCATCGTATCAGTTTGTGCGTCGACTCCAAGTATCTTTGATATCTCCGAACGAATCGATTTAAAATCCCATTCCATACTGATCACCACCCCATCGACGCTAAAATTCTTAAACCTGTGTTGCATATCCCATTGACCGCTATGTTGAACCAAAATTGTGATTCTGTTATCCATGGCAGAAGAAGTATACATGATCTTTCTGTTGTTTGCTTCGAATTATATGGTTCCCATCTCTTTATATAATACTATATTGGCATATGGAATAATTGGAATCCGTCAGTTACGTCTAAGAAGATTGGCTGACAGTAATAATTAATTTTCTTAATTAAGTAGAAGTATGTAACTGAAATCGTTTAAGAATATAAAGCAGAAGCGTGATTGAAGTTACCATGTTTAAGGGGTTTTGGCTAGGAATATAAATATTTTCTTGCCTTATGTGTAAAAGACCTAATGTTGTTATATGTCCGCAAATATTCCTACAATTTTGCCTAGTTATGTTTTTTCCTCTTGGAGTTTATCCAAAGGAAGATTGGCACGCGAAGGCTTGAGGAGCAGTCCCAAACAAGGAAAGCCATTGAGAGCTGATGCCACATGATCTCAATTATAAGGCTTGATCTCGATTAAGCCTTTATTGCAACATGATATTTACGAATTTAGTGTCATTTACTTATTATTGGAAGAACCGTGGTATTCTAAATCGTTGTAGTAAGTGCTTGTTATTTACGGAATGCACTTGATCTAAGCCCTTAAAATTTCTGAGTTAAAAAACAAAAAGAAAAAGGCCCGAGGCATTTCCCCCCCCTTTGTGGCAGTTCTATTAGTTTATGTTATTATGTACATCCAAACCATCAATAAATGGACTGTTTGTTTCGGAGACACAAGACAAACCTAGAAAGAATTTATTCTGCAAGTCATTTCGAGGCTAATGAAGTAGTACGACAGTATTGTTTTCCGCAATTGTATTTAAAAAATAGCCAGATTTACCACTGGTCGTTGAAAAATAGCCAAGTTTCAAAAGTCATCGAAATTTAGCCACTTTAAATCTGAGCGAAAACACTGTTCAAAATCCGGAAAAATACGCCCGCAAATTTTACGGGAGTTCTAGCAAGTATAATTGTCCAGTATAATATACTGGAGTTTGGAGCACTGGTGCTCCAGTCTCCCGCAAATTTTACAGGAGTTAGCAAAGTATACCGGTCCAACATAATATGCTGGAGTTCGTACACAAATGCACCAGAACTCCCGTATATTATACTGGACCGGTCCCTGTTGCAGCAAAATAGTGGCTATTTTTCATTGACTTGATAAACGCTGACTATTTTTCATTAACCAGTGTGAAAACTGGCTATGCCATGATATTTTAACCTCTTCGCTGGTCTAATTCCATCGCTGGTCTAATTCCAATTGTATTGTCTTCGCTGGTCTAATTCCTTTTATCTTTTAAATAGATATAAAGTAGTTTAATTCATTCAGCTCTTCGTTGAAATATTAAACCATGTAATTCAATAACAATTGTCCCTCACCCGAAGGTTCTTTACACTATTTCTGTGTATGATGCGACACTCCATTTTGTCAAAATATGCACGGGCACAAGAAAATCGAAACACACTGACATCCCATTTGTTTCTTTAGAACTTTATAATGATCGTGTCCCCATTTATATCTCACATAAAAATATTACAGCAACCAGGTTCATCTGTTCAAATCAAACCAAATAAAAAAAGGACAACCCAATACATTAAACTCCCGCTATGTGTGGGATCCAGAAAAAAATCGGACTACAAAGGTCTATTGTACGTAGGAGTGTCAGTGATTCGGTTCGGCCGGTTATTTTATAAAATTTGCACGATACCAACTTTTCAGTTATTCTATTATATATAACCAAAATTAAACCTTTTGAAACCGTCCCAACCATATCGGTTTCTCTTCGGTCGGTTAATTTTCAGTATTTTTTAAAAATGTTATGTAAAAGTCACTAGTAAAAGTAGAATGCAATAATATACTTGCTTAATTTCTTTTATAGGACTTAGCAAAACTCTCTAGACAATTTTAACTGTTTAAAGAGTGATGAATTAAAAAAACAAGAAAGATGGTAGAGTATAAATCCATCAACTAGTCTATAACGACGTAAAAGAAACTAAGCAAATACAAAGAAATATAAATCACATGAGTGAAAAGATATTAATCAAGCCGGAACTCGTGAATAAAGTCTATAGAAGATTAATATTCAAAAAGATAAATCTTAATCATATGAAAGAAAACACATCACAATACATTGTAGTTTGCTACTCATAATCGCTAAAATACCTTGTGTCTTGCTAATGAATATGCTGAAAATATTTAGTTTCAATAGGAGTAGCATAATAGGTTTAGGAATTAAAATTTTGAGTTTAATTACTTGTTAGCTTGTAACTGTTTTTATAATTTCAAGGACCAAAAAAAATTAGTACTTTATTATTTCAAACTTAATATATAAATATATTTTTTACATGTAAAATTTATTCGGTATGGTTCGATATTCTTTAGGTTTATTTCTAGAAAATAAAAATCCATCCTAATTATCGGTACGATTATATATTTATATAAAAACTTACGATTTATTTAAAAAAAAAAACTAAAAATTGATTCAGTATGCTATGGTTCCGTCAGCTTAGTCGGTTTTTAAATATCCATTGACACCCCTAAATTTGTACACAACCTTACCCTACATTGCTACAAGAGGCTGTTTCCACGGCTTGAACTCGTAACCTCCTGGTTACATGACAACTAACTTTACTAATTATTGCAACTTTATTGCAACTCATTAATGAATTAAATGAATCGAACTAGGATTAGATAAACCAAAATAAATATAGGACAAGTGGAAGACCGAGAATAGGCAGACCAAGATACCTCTAGATAGACATATGACATATGGCTTAGTATGTGTCTGAATAAGGTGTAAAAGTCCAATCGATCAAAATTAAACTCAAAGTTAATATGTCCAACAGATTTATGGTTAATCATTCACTAAGATTAGTTTCCAGAATTATAAGTAGAAATACACTAACACGAGACAGTTAATATGAAGAAAGTCATTACACAGAGAAACCATCAGCCAACAGAGATAACAAGATCCTATACTACAAAAAGTTAAAAAGAGTGGTTATGTTCTTCCGGGGAAAAAGATCATGGGTTTATGTGATAATTAGTCCTCTGCACCTTGTTTGGTATGAGCAGTATACCCAGAAAATATGAACTGTCAGTATCGGTTTGCAGCGAAAGTAAATACAACATGACTATGATATCCAAATCATGTTCACAGTTTACAAGCAGGCAGCCTAATTCAACCCATACACAGACGTGCTAACTCACTCAATAATCATCCTAACAAATAAGGGATGAAAACTACAATTATGTTCATACACTTCTCTCGTTAAGAAAAATTAAGAACAATGGAACAAAAAGCATTATTCAACAGTTTCCTCAGATGAGCAAATACTCTTTATGCCACGAAGCTAAAAGAGCACCAAAGACATAAAATAAAAAGGGACAATGACCAGTGAGCTATATACTGCAGGGACATACAATACAAGAAGGTATAAGACAAAACAATTCTAATTATACACTCTGCCCTAGGAAAATATCTTACACGGTTTTGAGTTCATCCTGACACTTCGAAGAAGGAAAAAAGAAAATAAGAGAAAAAAACTGATTATTTTGGAAAAGAAAACCTGATATTGTCTGCAGTAGTTAGTATTTCTCAACAAAAAAAAATGTTAGTTTATTCTCATAATAACCCTGAGAAAACATTAAACAAATCGATACTGCATACCTAAAATTAGTCCACTTGGTGGCCAAAACATTAGTTATCTCCATTTGACCTGCAGATAACAGATTCAAATTGGCAAGGGTAATGGAAGTTTTACAAGCACAGATATCAATGACAAGCAATATCACGGTAAGCTGGACCATGAGATACCCAAATCATGCAAACTTCTCAGTATCTGCACAGAGGGTTCGACCGAGAGACATCCAATTGAAAGTCTAATTCCAACCTCTGCATCACGAGAGATACCAATTTAGAGCCTTTGCAGCTCTGCCAAAACTTCCTTGTCACCCCCTAGAAAGCACCCATTCTTGCAGAAAGACTTGTCTATACAATTCAACCACGCATATAGACCCTCATGTCAATATTAAGCATCTTTTTCCAAGGAAATAACACGTGGACTAAACCCAGGGGCCGGGGAAAACCCTATACTATCATCTTCAACCCGTCTATGTGGCTTTTGCAAAACATAGCCAGCCCCAACCTGAATAAAGGATAAGTACTGACTAGATTGATGGCCTACAAGGAACTCCCTGAATACTGCATTCGGCTCTTGAAGTAGGCCTAAACAGAGTGGAATGGTGGATAACTTATATAATCAACGACGACTATTCTAAGAGGCATAATTGATATCATCCTCGACCGGAAATTAGGTTCTTCAAGAATGAGTCAGGAGAAGTTGTCTCAAATATAAAGAAAATTCCTTAATGTCACTAAACCAGTAATAATACAAGACATTCCACTCATGTGCAAAGTTCGATGCATCACCGACTAGGAGAGATTGTCAAAGATTTAGGCCATAGCTAATCTACCAACATTATTCAATAGATCCTGCATCCTGTCACAACCATGCTTAAAAGGCTTAATCCTGTTTCAGTTTCCAACCGCTAATTTCTTTTTTCTACCATGTTTTTATTTTGGAGAATGGTAATGATTTCTTCTACCATGGTTCCATTCTGAAATTAATTCAAAAAGCTTTTTATGATGCATTTGTAATAGCCTATGTGTTGCAAATAAAGAACATCCTATGCCCGATTGACTACTATACTGGGAGATAAGACTGATATTGAAAGAGGTTTCCCTATATGGTTATGAGATCATTTTGATTTAGTGTTATAAATCAAATGTGTTGGAATGTTGAAAGGATGGGAGACAGGAAATACAAAGGAACATACTTGCAGTTATATACCTAACCAGCAAATTCACAATACTACACTCTGAACAACAATGATGCACATTATGCACTACATCAGCCTACATGTTTTCACAGGGCTAAGTCATATTTCACTCCTAAACAGTTCAGCCATTACATGATGCCACAAGCTTGTCATATGACTCATATACCAGGGAAGGCCTATAGAATACAGATTAATCAAGCTATCTGGTCAAACATAAACTACGAGTACCTCCTAGTCAAACCGGCTGATCCTTTTGCATGATATCTCATCCACCCAAAACAACTATATACAGATTGAGCAACCGAGCAGGCAGAAAGCAACACCCTCATTAAAGTTAAATGACCTAACTTCAGAGAAATTAAATTTAAGCCAAAGATGAACATTAGTGATCTAGTGCTTTATCTCAACCATCTTGATGAGCATTCATTCTTGGGATAATCCAAAAGAATGATAGTCTATGTCATGTAGCAATGACTCGTCACCTATATTAGCAGATTGACACAATTTTTTTACAAGGTAAGGTAATTGTATAACTTTTAAGCTATTGCAGTAACGCCAACCTAACTATCTGCACAAATTAAAGTGTAAGGGCCTGACAGCATCTCGCCAAAAAAAATCCACCCAAAGAAAAATCTCCATAGCATATTCCAGGTATTCATCATATCAAGTATGAAAACAGCTGTATGAACTTACTTATAGCACAGAGATCCTTGAAAAGCATTACCCTTGAAATCTTATGAGATCTTAAGCAACATAAATGCAGAAGCATAACTCATCTAGATTCACTCTCATGAAATCAAGACCAAAATGTTAAGCATCAGTGTCATGTTCAATTCACAAGAAACTATTTACCAAGCAAGGAAAATGGGAGTGTGTTCACAAAATTGATATTAAAGCTAACTTGATCAAAATGTTTTCAGATTTCAATTTCCTATCTATTTTGTACAAAAAAGAAGATTATGTTGCTTGGAGTTATGTTTACTTGTATCCTCTACAGTTTTCTTTTTTGACAAGGTGTCCACTTGAACTTGCTTTTCTGTTTTCCTTTTTGCTTGTTTAGGATCCCTATAGAAGCAGGGGGATTTTCCAGTCAAATACCGGCAGTTAATATACCATGCAAGAAGACGTTACAGAGGAAGAGTTAGAGTAGAGGTTAAAATATTTAACCTGTTAGGAAATAGAAACTACATGACCCTAGCACATATATCCGGTCTCTACTTTGGTACATTTTACAGTTAGCCGTCACTCTGAAGCTGTTCAGCAGGTATCAGCGACAAGAAGGGCGATTTACCAATATTAGAAGAATTCTAGCGATACAGCTCTAATTAGCCTTTAGTAGCATGAAGTACTAAAATTGGTCTCGCTGCAGTAAATGACTAGTGGAACTATATCATTATTATTTTCAACTCCAAAGCAATCAATTCTCTGGTGAAATGTTAACCAGAACTTTTAACATTTAACTGATCAATTTCTTACTTAATGACTAAAACTTGAGACAACTGTTCTCTTTTCCTGATGCATAATAGGCAGTCAATCTTACAAGTGGAATCTTTCATCCATAGACAGAATGATTAGGTAGTAACCTCCGGACCTAGTTCTACTTAGGCGTTGAGAGGAGTTTAATGGATTTTCGACTAAGTATACCGCATATAACTAGTAATGTTCTGAAATAAAAGGAGAGTGGAACAACCAGTTCAAGCCTACATGAAGAAACCAGCAAGTGCTTGGATGTCCATGCTATTCTATTTTCGACTTCTAAAAGCTAGTAGTCTTTAAAGCATCATCTAATCATAATCCAATTAACTTCTAAACCTATTTCTACCTACAACGCTGATGTTTTTGCCAATTAGAATTTGATGGGAAGCTTATTTTTCGCAAAATTGACAAGTACACGAGACCCTGCCAAAGCTATATAATAAACAGGTAATTTAATCAAACAGACAGCTTTTATACTAGGACAACAGAACACAATCACAAAATTTATTTCACAAAAGATCAATTCATATACACAAGCTTGTAAATAACTAGGCATATAACTGTACATGCACACAATGAGAACCTCTTGCAACTATATGTGAGAAATTAGATAAGCAATGGACTGAAGAAGGTTGTCAAAAGGGTAGAAACAAGAAAGGAATGAGCACAAAAAGCTGACTCAACTAGAAGAGGACTAGTATTCTTATTGCACACCCAATTATATCAAGGCTCAATGAGGATAGAACAATGAGCATGTAAATGAAGGATAATCTTTTTTAAATGAGAAGAGAGAGGAGGGATTGTTAGAGGAACTACTAGGAAGAAACAAGGGCCTCTTATTCCTTGTTACCAAATTTCTTAGCAATGATAGGTCGGACATCATCAGCATCAGCCAGTGCCTCTAGGAATGGAAGTAAAGAAATTAGTGCAGAGTCTGAAGGGTCATCAAACCAACTCTTAATAGGAATCCCATTATTCACTTGCAATCTGAAAACCTGAAATCAAGATGGGAAATTAATATTCAGTTACATAAAACAATAGCCTTACTTCAAGTTCAAATAAGCACTCTGCATATTCAACCTTGCTGTACGTGTCTCTTAAGCATTTCTCAATTTCCAAAGCACATCAAACTTGAAAAAACTCACAAACATCTAGACTCTTTATTTTTTTAACAACTAATTTTCAACATATTCTTCTTCCTATAGAAAACTTGAATAGCAGTAAAATGCCTGATAAAGGCGTTGTATCTATTTTATGGATTGCGCAGGAATTTCAGTGACTTGATCTCACCAGCCCACTCACCCTTACCAGCCACAACCAAATGAAAAAAGAGAGGTAAGGATCTACCATCCCAGTACCAGAAGTACATAGAGATTTGTGTCCGTCTCACCAACAAGACAAGCATATGCAACAACAACAACTACTACTACTCCTTAAACCCAAACAAGTTGGGCTGTGCTATATGAATCCTCACTGACACGTTTCTCCATTTAAAATTATCTCAGGCCAGCATGATACAAATAACAAATAAAATCAGAACTAGAAGTTCTCTATGTTTCCTATTGGCATAAGAATCTCTAATAGGGCTAAAAGGCTTCAAAAAAGCAAAGGACCTAAAGTAAACATAGTCATGATGAAAGCATATTCCCAGCTAACAAGATAATAATACTTGATTTATCATCAAATACATAATTCAAGTAGATTACCTGTGGGGAATTATCTATAATTACAACTTTTGCCAGATCAACACCTAATACTGTTAAATCCTTAGTATAACTTCCATCAGAGAAGATGCATGATTCACGATACGCCCGCCTTGAAATAAGCTTTCCATCTGGATCCAGTATATCTAGCAGCTGCTTCGCATATATGCTCTGACTAGCGGTAAAAATTACGATTTCAAACATCTCCGCGACTCTCTCCAAGAATGTCCTGAGGTGAGGCCTCTGCCTCACATAGACAACATGTTCTTTCATGTTGAAGAAAACAGGAAATGTGAAGTCTGCATCATCACAATGCTCCAGTGTAGAATGAACAAGTGTCTCTGGAGACATGAAATGAATATGCAAGATATTAGACCATATTGTGGGAACTATCTCATGCCTCTGTAAAATATTATATGTACTGAAAGTAATATTGCACCAAATACAGCAACTAAGCTATATATGTGTTATACATGAATGTACCAGAGATTTGACTGGATTACTCTGGTACTCCCTACCATAAAAGAATCTTTGTAACTGGATGTCAGGTAAAGCAAAGATTGTTTTTACGCCAAGCTACACATTGCATCATTTCCAGCATAACCAAAAAATTGCAGCAAGACGATAATGAAAAGTAAAATTGGAGTTCCAGAGTAGTGAATCTCACCATCTAGGTCAAGTACTAGGGTGATCGATTTGCTTCTTTGTGATTCTTTTGGCAAAATATTTGGCCTTTCTAATATGTCTGGCAAATTTCTTATGAAAATATGTGGGTCAAAGCATTCTGCTTGATCAGATTCTAAATATGTGAAAGCATCAGACTGTTCAGATGATCTGAGCTGGTGAATTGCCATGTATAAGCTCGAATTATCTGACTGAATGGCAGTTTCTCCCGATGTTCTGCAATCTTGACTATAGCTAGCTGCTGCAGTGTCTTCAAGAAAAGGCAACAGCAAGTATTCCTCATCCACATTAGTAAAGATATTTGGCTCTTCACACTTGTAATCAGACAATAATCTGCCAGTCAAACTGTCATCATAGATGGTTTCACTCTCGAAGGCCAAACAAGAAACAATCATATCAGAGATGTAAAAATCTGAAACATTGCACGTCTGATGTTCACACGAACTTCTGCTGCTATCACTATCTTCCGTCTCCAATCGGGGTACATAAAAATCACTGCTTGCTGTAAACAACCAAAAACATGAGAAGTTTATGTAAGAATTATTTTTTTTCCAAGAACTGTAAGAGAGAGAGAGAGAGAGATGCGCTTCTCAGATCTTATCATCTATGGCCCGAGGGGGTTTTGGTTGTTAGAGAACATCCTTTTCAAGCTCAGGAAAAAGAAAGCAACACACAATTTAAGGGTGGTCTGTTGGTTTGCCTAACATCTTTTTTCAGAACGAGGACAGAAAGAAAACACATGATTATGAATTTCACAATTGACAAATGAATTAAAAAAAAAATTGGGGGCATACCTCCATCACTGGGTACATTAGACTCACTGTGTGCACCAATCTCCAGACTAGGTGAAAAGATGGTCTCTGGGCTTGATTTGCAGGTTACTGCTGTAGACTCCTGCAGTGATTTCAAAAGATGAAGGACAGCAACAACATCAAAAATCAAATTGCCTTACTTTTGGCCTGTAGGCACAATTATGGCATGGAAAACTAAAAATGTAAAACTGCCAGGAATAATTAAGTAATAATGCACAAGTTATATTATGTAAATTATACATTTCTTTGTAGCTGCTTTTGTTTTACCAAACAAATACTTCTACGCCTCAATCCAAAACTAATTGGGCTAGGCTTTTGTTGTAGTCAACTCGTGCGTCCCGTCTTTTCTCAAGGAAAAAAATAATGCAAGAGTTCACAACAACAAAAGCAGCTATAAGGAAATGGATAATCTAGGGAAATGTATAAGATAAAGCATGAAATAATCTATATTGAAGGAGTCTCCTAACAAAGCAAGTCATTTTTGAGACAGGGAATACATGTTATTCTTTGTCTGGTGCTTGTGTCTCAGCCTTTTCACATACTGTTATCTTCAAACAGCCACTTATCAAAAAAAAAAAGTAGAGATATGGAGAGAGCAGATAACTATTCAGGTGACCTTTCTTTGGTTCCTTGTTTGCTCCTAGGAATTTCTATGTTCAGTTTTTTTATTATATATATATATATATATATATATATATATATATATATACATATATATATATATATATACACATATATATATACACCAGTAGGGTCC